TGACATAGCCCAAAACCATCGCAATTTACCGGGTTTTGTGCCGGGAACCTGGAGAGCCAGAAGCTGTGAAACCCACACCTTCGTACAAGTTGAACTCCAAAGTCGTAGTTTTGAAGCGTTCATGCATTTCACGCTTTTCACGGCTAGCAGGTGACATATGCTGTGGAATTGCTTTGGCAACAGTAACTCGGATTTTTCTCTGCAACTTGAGCCAGCGCATGGTAACTCGGAAGTTTCTCTTTAATTATGTATATATATATGTGTGTACACAACAAGAAACATATACCAAGGTTTCTGAGAGGTTTGAAAAAACGGTTTCGATCGGATGGACTCGCCGGACTCGCCCGCCCTGCCCGCTTGAGTTCTCAAGCAGTGAGACCTCTAACCCCACAAACATGTCTAGTTATTTGGGGGGTGCCCCATAAAACATGTCTAGGTGTAGGTGTCCCACACAGGTCTCTCCACATGACCCACCCATGCGGATTCAACAGCAAATCTTTTCTCACAGGGCCTCACGCAGCTCGATCAGAGCTCGGTATCTACTCAAAGCCACAAAGTCCATGGTCAGTGGATGACACCGTGAGCAGATCGTGCTAACAACCCTCATGAAGCCCTCCTCTGCGTACACATGTTCATACCTCGGATTCCTCTTTGTGAGCTTGATGTACAGGCAGCAATGCAAAAGGCTGTGAAACTTCGGGAGGACTTTGTATACCCTTCTGTTCGGCCAATCCTGCCTGGCCTTCTTTGCAAGCTGTTGGTAGAACAGTAGGAAGGACCTTCCAGCAAGAGCTTCATCGGTGGCAACCTGCTCTGAAAACCATGGCCCATGTGCATCTTGCAAGAATTGGAACTGCGCAAGGCAATAGGCGGTGTGTGCCCGAAGCCGACTTCCCTCATTAGGGTTTTCCTCAAAACGCTCTCGAAGGAATGCAGCTGCCCAATAGATGAGGAACTTCACCATAGCTGCTTTGTAGTGAGAACTCAATTCGGGGTAAGATTGCCAACTGTCACGGCCAAACCTTGAAGCAGTGAAAGTGGAACTAGTAGGGCACACAACATCCCTCCTTTCACGAGCCCATGCCTTGTAGTGCCGCCATGCTTCCGACGACAATTTGTCGCCCAGCTGCTCCAAGGTGAGATTGGGAACGGTGTCTTCATAGTGGTGGGTAATCAGGGATGCCACCACTACACTCCCGACACCTTGGTGAACCATGTGCAACATATCCTTAGGTGTTTGGAAAGGGGCCCAGTGAAGAACCAAGAACATGCAAGAACCATAGCTACATTGAAGGTGACATCAGAAAGAAAAGAAAACCTTGATCATATCCTCAGGTGTTTGGAAAGGGGACCAGTGATGAACCAAGAACATACAAGAACCATGTTCCAGCTACAGGTGGCACCACAACGAAATGAAAACCGTGTTTTAAACCGATAGCAAGGTACTTCAACATTGCGGTCCTTTGCCCACCCTGGAACATCCACCCAGGCAGACTGCTTGTTCGGTGGGTTCAAGAGCAAAAACTCTTTGTGGCTCAACATGTACTCCATATAGCCAGCTCGATCCGAGAAGTTTGTATATACCATTTGATTTGGTAGCTTATTGGCTAAACAGTGCTCACAGATACTGTCCGACTGCCAGTTTCGAGCTAACTGATGCACTTGAACCCGCGCTTCTAGATCTGCCTTGAACGCGCCGAAGGCGAATCGCCAATTCCCTGCAAAGCGCTCGCCCGAGCGCCCAGCTTCCACAGAGTCTGGAGGGTACAGCTCACCTTTGTGGTTCCTTGTGGGGTACTTGCCGGTCATCAACACTTTCATGACCCATCCAATGATCTTAGCTATACATCTGTGGGTGTCTGGTTTCACCTGCTCGTTCTCGCGGAAGATCATGAACAAAAGCTTTGTGTTCAAACTTGGACCTTTCCGAACTGCTGAAGCAAACGAATACACCCATGCTTTGTGAGTTTTGTATATTTTGACTCCATCACAATGCCATGTGATAGGACATGTATCATTGGGCAGCTCGAGCTCCAAGTCCTCGTAAAAGGGCATGTGCTCCAGGTGAGACCAATATTCTCTCACCGCATGCGACGCCGATGATGGGGGGTCGTGCATCCACTCCAGTAGCTTCCCCTTTTCCCTGTGACCTGTAGTTTTACTCTATCAGCACAGGACCTGGGAAGATTGCCAAATATACTGTATACTGTAGATTCAATTCCTGCATCACCGATATTTCACAAACAATGCACTACCCAAATATCATCGCCTTCTGGTTGAAGGTGCAGTTCACTCCTCGAGCGGCCTGCGCAAAGGTGGTTTCATCGACATGGACAAGTACAAGCTGGACATCGACATCATTTGAAGCGCCTCCATCCTGATGAGTTCGGCTCCTGGATCGGGATCTTGATCGCGGCGGTTGCCTCCAATCAAAGGTGAGTTGACCCAAGGTGAAAGACCCATTTCAAAGCTGGCTGCCAAAACTGAGAACAGGTGTGCGAGCTGCAAATGAAGATGATATTTCCAACGCGATCCTACGGTGCATCCTCTCACAAGCTCTGCGGTCACCCCTGCAGGTGTTCAAAGCAAAATCCACAACAGATCTTGAGTGCTCTAAACATCACATAGTTTTGGTGGAACTCCCCAATAAACATGTGCACATTGTTTTGACAGGTTTTCAAAAGCTTCTCAAAGAAATGGGACACTATCACTAGTCACCTGCACCCCAAACGACCCTATAGCTTGAAGGAGGAGCGCTTTGGCTTCAAGGCTTCTAAGGTCATCAGACCCAAAAATAATTTAGGCCTCCTCTTTGGGCTCCCGTTGTTTTGGACTGGCCTTTTGCTTAGGCTTAGGATTCGCAGCCTTTTCGCTGGCCCTGACCAAAGCCTTACCCAGTTCCATTCGCTCACGGGCAATCTTTGTGGTCTTGTCCACCTCCAGAGGGCGTTGTGCAAATATGGTTTGATGGAAAGGAAAGACTTGCAAACATGTTATTGTATTTGCAAATGCTTGCAAGCGTTGAAACAAAAGCCTCCAGCATGATCTCTCGGTAGTGTTTCGTTTTGTTCTTCCCTTTCTTGATCAAGTCTTGCAACTTGTGAGCCAAAGTCTCCAACTTCACAGCTGCCGCTTGCAGCTGCGAAATCAGGTCATTGGACATCTTGATCGGCTGCAAGCGGAACGCCTGGGTCCTCGGAGTGTGGAGTATGGAGTATGGGACTATGGGAATCAGTTTTAGAATGCGTTAGACCACATCATGCTTTGGAAGATTGTTTGCACCAGGCCTGCAATCAGACACGTCCTTCAAGACTTTGGTAAGAAGGGATGTAGCCTTTTGAAGCGGTGTCTCTGGGACGACCTGACAGAATGGGTCAAAGGAAGGACCTGTTGGATGAGACGTTAATAACATGTGTGGCAACTTTCATTGTTTGACATGTGTGGAGACAGTGGAGACATTCACTGGTTTAGAAACTGTCTCTGTATGAATAAAGTGAATAAAGGCCTCCTTCACATCATCGTCAGACTTCCTCTGCTCTTCTTCACCCTTACCCTTCCTCTTATTTTTCCTCTTGGTCTCCGGAGCAATGGCCATAGTCGACATCAGCTTGTCAGCTCCGATAGCGCCGGCAAAGTCAGTGATCTTGAGACCAGAATTTGGATCCAGCACACCACCACCCTGCAAAGAACACATCACAGGTGGGCCAAGCCAAGCACTTAACATTGACAATCCTAGAGTCACACTACATTGGGGAATGAAAGTCATGTAAGTGAAAGAAGCCCTGCCTTCACGAACTCCCTCAACCCTTCCTCATCAATCTGGCCCTCCATCTCCAAGCGGGTCAGCCGAGAAAACTCCGAGATGTTTGCAACATCAAGGCTAATGAGCGTAAAGAAAAGCCTTTCGTCCTTGTCGTCTGGTAACTCAGGGTCCTGTATATGGAGGCCGAGGGCACGCTTTTTCTCCATCAATTTGTCGGCTTTTTTCTGTCCGTGACGGTCCACCAGCCACTTTTCTCCTCTAAAGCCCCATTTCAATTCGCTGCGCGTTGCCTCCCTCAACGACTGCTCATGGCGCAGCAAGATTTGGCTGACATCTCCATCACACTTGACGTACTCTTCAAACAACTTCGCCCTCCCTTCACTGGAGTTGATGGCTGCCACCAACTTTGTAGGGAAGCGCTTTTTGTTTTTGCACCACCGGCTGAAGCGCATGTACTCTTTTCGCTTGCTTGAGCTATTGATCTCACCTCCTTTTGCATTATCTTCGATCTTCGCCTCTGCATCTTTCAGGGCCTTGGGTTCAGAATCCTCTTCATCTGAGCTCTCTGCTGCCTTCTTCTTCTTCTCCTTCTTCTCCTTCTTTGACTTCTTCTGATCCGTTTTTTCTTCTTCTTCTGTCTCAGGTTCCGCTGCCATGGACTTCTTGTCCTTCTTACCTGACTTTGTCTCCTTTGCTTCATCCTCACTCTCATCCGCTTCCTTGGTCTTCTTTTCCTTCTTCTTCTTGTTCTTGGATTCATCATCTTTAGCGTCCTTCTTCCTCTTCTTACTCGTGGGCTCTTCGCCTGAAGCCTTTGCCTTTCCTTCAGCTGCTTTCTCTGGCTTCGTCTTCGTCTTCTCTGCTTTGCCCTTTGTCTTTTCTTTCTTCTCTTCCTCTTCTGAACCCCCCTCTTCTTCATCTTCTTCCTCCTCCTCTTCATCATCAGTCTCCTCCGCGCTCTCGGGTTCTTCAGGCTCCGGTTCACTTTCTGATTCATCTTTAGCAGGGGCATCCTCACTTTCCTCCTCACTCTTCTCTGCCTCTGCCTTCTTCACCTTCTCCTTTCCCTTCTTCTTCTCCTCGCGCTCTTTCTTCTGCTTTTGAATGAACTCTTCAAGTTGTTGCATTGTCTTCTGCTTTACCTTCTTCTCATACTCTTCCCGCTCCGCCTTCTTTTTCTTCTCTTCCTCATATTCCCTTTCTGATGCCTTGCGAGCCCTTTTCACCGCTTCCATGGCCGCATCAAGTTCAGCCTTCTTCTTGAGCTCATTCTTCTTCTCCTCCGATTCGAGATATACCCAAATCGACCCAGGCTTCATCCATCTGCGGATATCTGTGATAGGGTATACCTCCCGAAAACAACAAAACCCCGACTACACAAACCCAAACCCCAGAGCAGGATCAATCCAGCCTCTTTTGGATCCTTCTTTCCTTTCACTTCTTCCTTTTCTTCCTCTTCTGATGAGCCGGAGCCTTCCTCAGCCTCAGCCTCAGAGCTTGAACTTTCACTGCTTGAGCTTGACTCCTCACTTTCCTGCCAAAGTTGAACAGCTGAAGAAAACATAGTCGTGAAGCCACCACGCCTCCGCCCCATCAGCTTCTGAAGCAGATGATTCACGCTCCTGGCAACATAGACAGCAACTCACCATGGGAAACGTGCCTAGATGTGTGCTTTCCTGACTCCCACGTTTTTTTTAAAAAAGGCAGAGTCAGGATATGCTAAGAAAATACAAACAAGCAAACATACACTGATAACACCTGACCTTGTCGTTGGCCACTTTCTTGAGTATTTTGTCCGCTTCCGCGCCAGTCATCTTCGAAGACGATGGTTTGGCACTCCTCTTTGGTACCGGGTTTTCTGCCTCGATGTCAGTGATTGATGGTGTCTCGTTGAAGCTCAACTTCCGCCTGATAGTTTGGTTTTGAGGAGTAGCAACCTTCAGAAGTCCGGTTTTCATGGTCTTTTCAGCTTTCTTCAACTTCTTAGGATCTGGACTTTTGGTGCGATAGTTTGGGTCTGGCGTTTTGCACCGAACCCGCAAAGGTGGCACTGCAGGTACCTTGGTTTCCTTCTCTTTCGGTACCTTCTTGGTTTCTTTACCTTTCTTTGCACTGGCTTTAGTCTTTGCCATGGCACTTGAAAGATCGATCACAAGCTGGAGCTGTCCGGCTGAGGCGATGACCGTTCACTTCAGATCACTGATCGCGAAGGCAAGCGGGTGCAGTTGGAACTCTGCAAAAGATTGAGAGGAACCTTTTGACACCAAAGGCTCTAGATTGATTGCAGCAAGCTTCAAAGATTAGATGCAGCCCTCAAACAACTGCTTGTAGAGTTGTAAGCATTTGACCAGGCACACACCGTGTCCGATGAAAGTGGAAGAAACCCACTCAGAATTCCACTGAACATTGAAAAGTTCCAAATCCATGAAAATTCACGGGTTTTCACAGGTGATTCACGGAATTTTCACGGTTCACGGGCCCATGCAAACATAAGAAAAGTGCACCGGTGGTGTGTGAAAACCTGAATTTCCGGCCATGGTTTTGCGATCAAGCTCTTGCTAGCTAATGTTCAAATACACACGAGCTAAGTTCAGAAATGGAGCTATAAGTTTAAAGCTGTTTTACTGAAGAACATCGTCGCTAACGTGCAAGAGCCTTTCAATCTCCTAAAGCGGACCGGTGGGGGCCGCTCTGCATCAGCGCGAGCTGTACAGGACGAAGATTGGCCACCGTTGCCCAGCGGACAGTGTCCTGGATGCATGGCATGGATCACTGGGATCGTCGATATATATATATTTATATATTATATAATAATATATATATATATAAATATAAAGCCCATGAATCAGTGAAACCGTGAATCCGTGAAACCGTGAATCCGTGAATCTGAGAACCCGGTCCTTCATCTCCTTCTTGGGCCCATTGTCCATAAGATCCATCCTGCCCGATATATTACAGTAAATCTACATTCCAATAAATGATAAACCTAAAGAAGCCTGCCTGTGGTTCATCATGGTCTCTTCAATCTCCGCTCGGTGCTGCAGGACGACTTCCGCGACCCATCTCCCAAACATGATGGGATAGTGCTGGGATTCTTTAAGGTCCTTTCCTCCATTGATGGAATTGCCCCCATCATGCTTCTTGGTCGTCCTGGACGGCGATGGGCTGGGCCATGGGTTCATACATACTTGTTGTATAGACAACAATGTTTATCCAAGCTATAGTTCCCAAGAACAAAGTGGAAGCAATCGCAAGGGGCGTCCCCAGCCTGGTGACCATCTCTGAAGCCCATCTCGCACCGCGAGGGAGTTCCAGGTACAAAGGCCCCAACAAACACCTGTAGTTGCTGTAGATGTAGGTGCCTTTGGGGCCTGGCGCGGTTCGCTAACAAACAATACTTCTGCACAGAATGGGCACCCTCCACCTGAAGGACTCTATTTGATGGGAGACATCCCAAAAGATCACAAGGGAGGCAAAGCCCACTATAGTAGCCCAGGACTTCTTGGATGCTGACTAGGCACTACCTCCTCCATAGCTCCCAACCCAAATGAACTGCTGGTAGACTCGGAAGTGCCGCACTATCCAGCGAAAGCATGGGTGCCAAGCCATCACTGAACTTGATGGCTGCTCCAGCAGCCACGGCAGCTTCAGTGCTGACATCACTGCCAGCACCATGCACACTCTGGAGACCATCTCATTCCTTGGGTCGGTTGGAAACGCATACTTCCTTTCCCGTTTCCCCTGGCTCTTTTGGTTGTGCAGAGTATACGCTACCAACACCACCACCATTTTCCTCTTGATTTCCGGCGACATCCTAGGCCCCAGGTTGTCGAGATCCTGCTGCCCTTCGAGTCATGACCCAAGGATCATGAGGGAAGTGTACCTGTGAATGGTGTTGCTTGTTTCAACATGAGTCAATACACAGACTCCATAGGCTCTAAGCAGCGACCTGGAACCCCAATATCGTAATTAAGCTTCCTAAAATGATCTAAAAGGTCCTAGAGGCATGTGTGGATTCACACAGCCCATCAAACTCGTGGCACTACGGGTCCCCTTCATTTGTGAGACCAATCAGTTTGAAACACTTCTCAACTGCCTGCGTCACATTCTCATTGAAGCCAATATTGGGATGGTTCAGTTTTGTTCCATCGAGTGCAGCCTTAGGCTTGAGGGCGCGATGCCTGAGAAGGACTTCGACCTTCCCACTGCCCTGCACATGCCTTGGCGATCGGGTCAGTGAAGAGTTGGGACGGCTTCTGTAATACACGCATTGTCTAATACACGCATGTATCAGTCTCTCTTGTAAACAAAAGGCAGGGTACCTGGTGTAGCTGTGGGCTCCATGCTTGGTACTGGTAGGGCGCAACTCAGCCGGCAGCAACATAATGATGGGGCGGTAGCCTTCCTGGAAGGATTTCAGAACCACGTCAGCGCTCTCACCTGAGAATCAAGCAAGACGTGCGCACATTTGGACACAAGGTCGTGGATGGAGTACGATGAATGCGCATTGCACATATTGCAACGACCATGTTTGCTTTTACTAGGCTGCCCACGCTCCGGTGTTTCATCCTGACCCTTGCGCTTCTTGGTAGCTTTGCCCTTGCTCTGAGACGACGGCCTTTTACCTGAGCTTTGAGCGCTTTCCATGGTCATGGTCAAGAAGAGTAGTACAAGCAAGCACGACCCACAAGAACTTGTGAACTTGCGTGCGCAGGTGCCCTTTTTCTTTTGCTTCTTAGCATCCAAGGGAATTGGAGACGGTGGATTAGCCCACAAGCTGCGCCTGTCCTCCTCGAATCCAGACGGAGCCTAAGAGCTTGCGTGATCATGCCTTATAGTGTGAGACACACTGTGTAATCTCCGAAAGAACTTCCAATTCACAACATACTACTGCTACGCTAGAAACTTCTGGCTGAAGAAAATGCTCTGCCAAAACCACATGATGTGATTCAGCGTCAAGGCCCCGAGGAACCACCTCCTCAACCTCCTCAGTTTCTTGGTCCTCTGAGCTGCCTTCTGCATCAGAGTCCACAGCATCAAAACTAGCAAGTTCGGTCTCCTTTTCAATGGCTTTCAAGATGGCAAAGAGTTCTGGGTGTAGTAAGGGGTCTATTTGGGATTCAAACCGACTCTCAAATTCATCGGCGGTGACACTGGAACTAGAACTTCTCTCCCGCTTGTGGGGCTTGGAGAGGTAGACTTCGGTTGGCGAGCTTGTCTCTGTCAGCCCCTCCGACGGAATCTCAACTGAAGACTCCCGCTCGGGCGGTTGCTTGTTCTGCAGGACCTGCCAAGAGAGGTGGAAAGGTACATAGTGCACAGCTGTGTCATTGCAAAGTTTGTTGACACGTCCCCACCTCGTCCCACAACTTTTGATCTTGGGAGTCAGTATCCTCAGACTCAGAAGACTCCTTCAGGCAGTCATGAGTCCGATACACGCACACACACACAGAGCATTGCATTCTGGCAAGATCCCCTTCGAGCCTCATTGGTGGCCGTTTTTGTTGGGCCATCCTTCATGCGGTTCTTCATGTTCTGGATTGTAGGACTGCGGCTGCTAAAGGGCGAGTTTCGCCACAAACTGCACGGGGACAGCGAAACAAGACTATAGACCATACATGACCATACTATTATTTGCTGACAAGTTTGGACGTGCTATTCATTACCCGCCCATGCCTCCTACCAACGCTCCAGAGAATGCGAAGTTGCACAGTCATGAGCTTCACCTTCTGCTCGACGTCCAAGGCCGCATCAGCCTGGATCGCGAGGCCCTGCAGGCAAAGGCGGATGTGTGGAGCAAGACCCCTTTAGGTTTGTCAGGGTAAGCAGTGATGGAAACAAACACGCCAAAACATGCTAGGGTATACAAACTGAACTTGGGTTGGTTTGACCCCTCAGGAGCACCTTCGATTGAAGGTTGAAGGAACGCCAGATTATGTCCGCTTCATACTTTGACGGGCATCGGTAGGTAAAAGGCTCAAAGTCCAAGATGCTCTCCATGACCCACATATTGGTCTTCCTGGTTGGGGCAGGGGTGCAAATTCATATCGCGGTCTTTGATAAAACAGGCAAACCAGCTTGGCTCGCCAAGGGGCAGTTGATCTTCTCCGATTTTCCTCTTAAGGAAGTCACCAACCAAGATCGGTTGTTCAGGTTCTGAACCAACATCTGCTATAGCCTTCTCCTGCAAAAAGGTTCACTTTTTGAGCTATAGGTGCCACACTCCCCTTTGATCCATGCGTTTGTTCTCACACCAACTACAGTGCATGGCTCTATTTGGTGCTCCTTCAACTCAGGTGGCATGTTGTTCCACATATCCTCTCCCACCAGCTGCAAGCGGGCAACGTACTGCACATCACCAGACAGGTCGGCGCCAGAGTCTGACTCTGAGTCAGAGGGCATGGCTGTGAGTACGACACTGAGATGAAAGCTCAGGCAGCTTTTGACAAAATGCCAACTGAATTGACGCAATATCATTTTTGTATGGCTTACACGGCCATATTTTTTGCATGGGACATCTTTATATGGATAATGGATACATATACATCTTTTCATGATGGATGCAGGCAAGCTTTTCTTTCTGTGAACTTGTTTTGCCAAGTCTCGCTTTCTGGACAAAGTCTGCCTCCTTGAATCCCAAAGGCTGATCTCGGCTTCGACCACTGGAAGACCTGAGAGGCTGAGAGGTGCTAGGGCTGGATGGGGGCCTGTGTGTACCACATGGAGATCCAACCAACTTCAACCAACCAACCAACCAACCTGGACATTGAGATCAAAGACTGGTTTCTGGTTGTTTAGGTTTCTGCAAGTACATATACCCACCCGCCCTGCCTGTTCAGCCAAACCCAGCTCGAGCATACAGGTGCCCACCAGGTGCAGCCGCACTTAGATCCGGCGACGGGGTTTGTGCAAACCACTGCATTGAACCGCAAGTTGGGCAACCTTTTTGATCATAGGAGCCATATGTCATTGTTTGTCATTGATTGAAATTGGTTTGCACAAGCAAAAGTAATTGAGCCCAGCTTCTCTCCAGTAGGTTCTCAAGGCGCAGCTCAAGCAGTATGCAAAGCCAATGGCGCTCAAGATGTCTTCACTGCCTCCTGCACCAGTGTCTTTGATCTCATAGGTCAGGGCATGCTTCCCGAAGTGCCTGCACAGAGAAAGTCATGTTGATGTTCCAAAGCGGTTCATCCCCTTGTCCCTGATGAAGTTTAACCCTGGGTGAGTTTACGCGCCAAGAGAACCTATAGTGTAGTAAGGCACGAGTGGCCTGGCCTGAATCCTCCTGCCACAGTTTTCACGCCAGCGAAGTATTCCACAGCGTCCACTTCCTGAAGTGCGTGCACGGGTGCAATGTTTCTAGACGTTTCTGATGTCAATCTATGCCAAACAAACTCCAGCTGTTGATGGAAAAAAGTAGGGGATTGTGGAAGATCACCTTCTGCTGCAGAGAGTCCACATGTGTTTTAGTCATGTTTGCCATGACCAACTCCGTCATGCTCAGAATGCTGAAGGGCAAACCAGCCGACATCAGCAAGGACAGCCTCAGGTCGCTTTTGTTGGATGGTCTTTCAAAAAGCCCCGAACTTGCACGTGTGGACTCAAGAAACTCCATGCCCTCCAAACCAGACTCGTGAGCCGAGAAGCAAAATGGCGAACTTCGGGCCCAAGGAACGCTGGGGGGAGAAAGGGACACAAACCACTTTGGGCTCAGGCATGGCCTTCTTTGACCGCTTTGACCTCTTGAGGTCCCTTTGAGAGGTCCGATTTGGTGGTTGGGGCTTTGGCAACTTCACAGCCTTTCCCATCCCACACCACCAAATCACACTAACTACCGCCCCAAAGATTGCTGCAGTCGAGCACGGCTGTTCAGAGTACGTAAGAGGCCATCGGTGGTATGGAGGCCATCGCTAGTAGGTTGGAGGCTGTAGCGTGGAGGCCGCCGCTAGTAGGCTGGAGACCATCGCTAGTAGGTTGCAGGTACAGTCCAACCCCCAAAGAGCTGCTCGCCTCGAGTTGCTGAGGAGCAACAGGTCCATCGATATCTGGCAAATGCTGAATGTGGATTGAGTCTTCTTTAATGTTGACTGATGGCTTCCATTCAAAGCACCATGACTCAAGAGAGCATTTTACATCCAATTGTCATACATGATTGTCAACAGCCAACACCCCCCAAGAGCTGCTCGCCTCGCGCTGCTGAGGAGGAAGCCCACCTGGCAAAACTAAACGTTGACTGTTGACAAACAAATCAATGTATGACAGTTCAATGTAAAATATCCTTCTTGAGTCATGGTGCTCTGACTGGGAGCCAACAATCTATAAAGATTCAACCCACACCCCACACCCCCAAAAGAGCTGCTCGCCTCGCGCTGCTGAGGAGCAGGTCCATCTCCCACCCGTGGACACCGCGGGAAAAAAACATTCCATATATGTTTGGCAACTTCTGTCTGTTGACCATTTGGTTTTGAAGAGGTGGAGGGGATTGGTAGATTGTATGCATGAACCCTACCGACATGCCTTTGAAGCTAATACCCGTCTATCAACACATCGAGACTTAAACCAGAAACTCTGTCTTTTTGAATGGGAAAAACCTCACACATTAAGAACGTGTTCTAACCGTGTATATATACACACATGAACATATACCGCACCCGACCGCACCCCGCCGGGCTCGAGAGATCAAGCGTGCGAGCGAACGAGCGAGTAGACATCGAGCAGACATCAAACTGCCAAGCTGCCATTCATACAGTTAGCCTGTGTGGAATTTGTTTAGCTTCCGTTTGGTTTCACCCAGGGGAAGACCCCCTGCGCCAATATTACGGTTCTGCAACGAGAAAACTTGTTTGCCCTTAAGGCGTTAACCCCTAAAAACACGCATAAACGTTCTTCTCTCCACCTATGAGAGGGGAAGGTGCACAGCAAAGCTTGTGATTTCCACACTTGCTGCACCATGAGCAATATATAGGCCATGAGCATGGCAGTTTGACAACTTCGTGTGTCGTGCAACATCAACCTCGCCGTGTGTCCATGTTAACATGGTATATGGCACATTGGCCGTGAAAGTTGTGTAACTCACACAGTTGGGCTCTGCAGGAAGGTGCACAAACCCGTGCAAATACCGTTGTTTTGAGCCATTTTGAAGCCTCCAAAAGCCGAAAAACCCTTTCCGCCAAAATCTTCCCAGGTTTTTTGTCATTTTTCGACCATTTTTGAAGCCGGACAGCCACAGAAAACCACGTACATTGCATGGTCTGAGGCCACTCTTGCAGACTGGAGGACCTGAAAACACTAGTACTTACGGCGTTGACAGAGAGCCGCGCCAGGGTGGAGTTGAAAGGGGGGGGCCCCCGGCCTCCACTCTGGCTATAACTAAAGCAAAAGGAAAACTCAGGTAGCGTAACCGCTACCCTTCGTGACTTCTCGCGCCAAGCCCTGCGCCTGCCACGAAATCGTTTAGCGCCTGCAACGAAATCATTTCTTTTTACTTCGATAGGGCTCCTGCCGAAGACAACGAAGGCAGGCTCCTCCCGAAATACCACGCAGGTTCCCACGAGTAGACTTTAGGCTGAAAGATTTCTGAACCTAACGGGCGCAAACAGCCTCACGCCGAAACCAACAAATATTCGAACGCCGGGACCGAAAACCTTCAGCCCTCCTTTCTACCCTCCCTTCTTGAACCCCCTCCGTACGCCTCCTAGGACCGAAGAGAAAACAAACGAAAAAGATTTTTGTTTTCCATCTCTTCTAATCCCGAGTACCTATTTAAAAACGGACCCCTATTAGAAAAAAGGCATGTCGGAAACCCCTAAATACGGTTTATATTTGTTTTTAAATTACCGCCCTTTCAAGCCGCTACTATAGCACAGAAAATGATCACGGCAGACCTCACTCCAAACTGACCCTCTCAATAAGGATCCGTGACGCGTTTCGCGTCCGGATTCCTGAGGGGGGAAGGAAGCCCAAGATGGGCAAAGGGAACGGCGTAAGGACGCCTGAGTTTGAGCCATCGCGCGCAAAAAGGGTGTTGCGTGCTGGTGACAGTTTAGGAAAAGGAAACCATATGGTTTCTTTGCCTTTTGCTAGTTCCTTTGCCATGTTCTTTTGAGGGAAGTAAATGTTTTACGCATAAAATACTAGCAGTAGCGTATTTATGCCTCAGGATTTGTTGAATGATATGTTCTCAACATTTTCCTCAATTTGATAGAGAGGATTTAGTCTAAGACTTTGTATGATGTTTTGCCATGCCCTTGTTCCTTTGCTATGCCCTTTTGACAGGTGTAGGAAGAA